GGATAGGTTAGGGTAGATTAAAAGGGGCTGGTTTACTGCTTAGACCGTCGGCAACGAAGAGCTGCTGAACCTGTCGCAACCGTCAATACCTCGTGGCCACTTGGACCCCCTGATCTGTCAAGTCTCGTCGGTATGTACTAGTCCGTGGGGTTGCCATGGTCGGCCTGGGTACAGCTAGTATGTTTCCCGTCACCATGGCATCTGTACGAGAGTCCACACAAAGCGAACTTAGGCCCCACTAGGGCCCATCTTGTGGGGGAGGGGGGGGGGGGATACTATGCACACACTGGGTCTTAGTATGGGGAAGGTACTGGGTACTTCTCATCCCACAGGTATCTCACAATGCCTGTTCGTGGTGCTTCATCCAGGCTGGGGTGCGTGGGAATTCTCATTGGGGGAATTAGTTAGACTGTGGATTCCTGGGGAGCCTTGGGTAGGAGGGCATCATGCTTAGGATAGGGGAAGGGCAGGATATCGCATCTTAGCGGAAGAGCGGCTCACTGCCCATAGAGTCTCAGGGATGACGCACAGACGGGGGAGGACTGCACGTGCATAGACCCCGCCTGTGCCCGGGCCATCCTTAAAATTAGAGTTCGGGTAGCAAATACAATGAAGACGTCCGGGTTAGTTCCGGTAAGCGTTGGCGCAGATCGTGACTTGCGATCTGAGCATTGGCATAGGTCATGGTACCATGGTGCCATCTTGAGGGTGACTCCCCCTGGGACCTGGGTCCCTCGCAATCCATCTGACCTCCTAACGGATGAGTACTACGGGCACCTCCTGAGGCCTGGCCACCACCCTCTGCTACACCCTGGACCTTGAAAAAAAGAAGAAGAAGAAGAAGAAGAAGAAGAAGAAGAAGAAGAAGAAGAACTGCAGCTCAAGCCATGTCTGGCTGAGGGCCGACTTAAAAGCCCTTCTACCTTAACTGGACATGAAAATAAGAAACGTAAAAACAGCAAAATAATAATTTGCATTTCGTTTTTCCCTTGCAGCCGTCGACGTTGACAAACAAATCGAGATCCCCTTCCGACCCAGATCTGAAACTTTCCTAATCTGGTCCTCTCTGTGTTCCCACCCGTCATAATACGCGTAACCATGGTTCTAACTCATGAGAGGTGTTAATCAACAGGCACCACATACAGATTACAAAAAGACAAACCAAACCCTTCATAGTAACTCTTCATAGTCACTGCATAGTAGCTGCATTGTAACTTCATAGTAAATGCAGAGTAACTGCAGAGTAACTGCAGAGTAACTGCAGAGTAACTGCAGAGTAACTTCACAGTAACTTCATACCCATGCACATACATTGGGTACTCAGCTTGTAGATCTCTGTACGAGGGAGGACTCACGGCAGGCAGCGCACAGCCAGTAGGCCCTGGGTTCAGCTCAAATGGAGATTAGGCTCGGTGGGCCCAGACAGGGCAGGGCCCCGGTAGGGCCAGACCCCCAGTAGGGCCAGAAAGGGTCCCGGCAGCTCTGTCTGGGCCCAGTAGGGTACAGCTGACTCCCAAAGAGTCTAGAAGGCACTACCTACCAGACAGACAAAGACCCGGCCAGAGAACAAAGTGAAGATCGGGGCAGGTCAAGGATCCTTCCAATGAAGGATGCAACCAGGCTGAAGGAAGCAATAGGTAAACGCTATGCCTGTTGAAGGGAAGCAGCACTGTGCAGTCAATCAGCCAGCCTCATGGGGGTTGGGCA